CAGTTGAGACCTACCGCGGCCAGAGCTTGGTCTCTGACAAAGATTTGGGAGCGTGATATAACTGTCGGACTAAATTTTGTTGGGTCAGACCACGGGCCGAAGCGGTGTCGTGGCCGAGGCCTCGGAATTTGTCTTTTGCTGGATACTTTTTATCGTTTATTTTATTGGCTTTAATTATCTACCTAGCGACTTATGTAGTGTGACTTACAGTGTGTCCAGATTCACGACATAGGCACGTGACGAGGTAATAAGCATAGGAAGAAGTGGTTCGAGACGCGTATATAGTAGGAAGAGGCAAGGCTTTAGGCCTCTTTTCGACAGAAGTGCTCAGAGTAGTACGCCTTCCTGATGAGTCCGAGTAGTAGCCGGACAAAACCGTTGAAGGAATCTACTTTGTCATTTCGGGGAGATCTGGATATGTTTTTGGGTTTTGAGACATGCGTGAAGTGTGGCTGCGTCTCGGAGTATTTTGATGGTTGAACTTTGGAAAGCTGGTTTGTGCTATGTCACATTTATTGACAGTTTTCAGGTTTGTTCATTAACTCTGTGTCAGTGCTACTGAGTGTGCATGTATCTTCCTGACTACCGTGTCTCCCGACAGGCTGTTTGCCGCAGTCTGTCTGCCTGTTGTTGTTGTTGTTGCTGTCCTTATTGATGCATTTATCGTCAACCACAACCGCGTTGTCTTCGTTAAAGCTATTGATGACGACGTTGTTGTTGATGTCATCATTATAGTTGTTGTTGTCGACGTTGTCGTTGTTGTTGTGGCCGTTGTTGTTGACGTTGCTATTGTTGTTGTTGTTGCTGTTGTTGTTGTTGTTGTTGTTGTTGTTGTTGGTGGTGGTGGTGGTGGTGGTGGTGTCGTTGTTATTGTTGTTGTTGATGCTGACGTCGGGGTTTTCATCATCTTCGTTCGCTCCGTCCTCCTGGCAGACCTCATCCTCCATATCGTTATCGCCCTCCAGCCGCTCCTCAAGCATATACCATACGTTGCGACCCTCAGTGAAGAGGGCATAGCAAGTGGACATTGTAGTGGACCCACCAGATGTGGTGCTCCGCTAGTGGTAGAGATGGAGATGGAGGAAGAAGGGGGGAGCGAGATGGCACAACGCAGCTCCCCACGCAAGACTCCAACGCACGTACTCCAAAATGTGCAAGTGAAGAATGAGAATGAAAACCGACAACTGCTGGGGTATACCCCAGCGGACTGACCGGACTGGACTGGTCTGGCTGGTACCGACAGAGGTACCGGCCTGGACTGGACTGAACTGGACTGCCCCCGAATAGAACACAGGCCTATGAGAACAGGCCAAGGGGCTGGTCTCACAGGCCAACCAGAGGTCCGCTACACGATCCTCGGCCTGTGATGGATCGCCTAGATGCAAACACGCTTCCGCCAAGAAGCGAAACTCTACCAAAGAAAAAGAAAACCTGAGTAGTCTAGGATGCGGAACAAGCTCCATGCTGAGTCCATGCGATGCAACCTAGGATAGTAAATGTCACAACTAACAGCCTAAGTGAAAGCAAAAACTAGCTAGCATACATGTCCTAGGAAAGCGAAAGCAACTAACTAGCATACATGTCCTAGGAAAGCAGAAAGTACTAGAATGTTGGAGGCAGTAGCCTCAGTCTGGGAACAACTCACTAGTGTATAAGTCCTAAGAACAACAAAAGCAGAACATCTAAATCCTAAAAAAGTCAGAGGCAGTAGTCTCAGTCTGAGAGCAACAAAGCAACAACAAGTCAACCATATGTCACAGGAGAAGTGTGTCGCAAACCAAAGGGTGGGATGGTCTCTGAGGGTGGCGAATGCAGCCTAGGGGTCGAAAACTCCTAAGGGCATCCACACATAGTGACAGGGGAAACACATGTCATCAGGCTCAATGAGGGTAGGGAACTAGGAGCGAACAGAACCAATGACCCTAACAGATAGACCATCAGGGCGGGTAATGCTCGACTAAGGGGTGACCGCTATGGAGGGTCGACCATGCAAGGGAACAAGGGAGCCTGGTATACTGGGTGCACCTAGATGAAGCATGTGGGGCTGCCTAACTAGGGCGTGAGGGCCGGCAAAGGGTAGAAAGATGATGGGTAAGGGAATCATGCAAATGACTCCTAAAGTGAGGGAAGTCGGAGCTAGATCCGTAAGATGGGAAACCAGGGCAACGCTACGGTCCCGATGCCTATGCGTATACCAAGGGAGAGCCCAACTACGAGGAACCCGTCTAAAGGGAGACCATCATGCGACACAAGCAGGGTACTATACAGGGTAAAGTGGTAAGAGAGTGGCGACGTCTGAAGTAGGCAGAGCTGATCGTGACCAAGTCCATGAAGCTGCCGATGACGTCCACGATGAGAAGTCCGGAATGTCGTCGAGGAAGAGCCGCAACGTCGACGAGTTGAAGTAGCAAAACTGATGTGGATGGAGTACTGAGAAGTCAAGGACGTGGGAAGGTAAGTCAGAGTCAATCGTAGTATCGAGCAGGACGACGACGAGTGCGCTGTGGACGCTCTGAAGCATCCGACTGCTGCTGAAGATCTGCCTCAGATGGAGCAGGCTCGACTTCAGCGGTCTCCTCAGCCGGGGGAGAAGGAGGAGGGTCAGTGGGCTGAGGAGGAGCAGTGAACCCAGCACGACGAGCACGGTCATAGGCACGCACCAACATGCGAGCGTGCTGCAAGTRCTCGAGGGGCTCCCAGGTAGCCTCCTCATCAGGGTAACCCTTCCAACGTACGAGATACTYGACGTKGGGAGGGTTGTYRTYGGTGACTTGGCGACCAATGATGTCTGAAACGAGGAACTCCTCGTGGCCGTCCACCATGATGGGTGGAGGGCGCTCGTATGGTCGTCCAGCGAAACGCTCAGACGGTCTGCGGTAAGGACGCAGTAACGAGACGTGGTAGACATCGTGCACACGAGCCTGGCGCAGGTAGTCGGGCAACTTCACACGAAAGCTGACCGGGCTAGATGCCGTATCAGAACCGACGGCCTGGAGGATGCGGCATGGGCCAAAGAAGCGACGTCGAAACTTGCGAAGGTGTCCGCTTCGAGCTGTAAATGGCAGGCGTCGATAAGCACATCATCACCGACTTTGAATGGATGATCCATTCTCGATCGGTTCGCACGTGCTGCCATGCGAGTCTGGGAAGCGGCTATTTGCTCATGTGCGGTCTTCATGATCGACGTCATGTGTGCAACCCAATCATCCAGCGCGGGACAACTTGTGTCAGGGTGCAGCTGGGACGGTCGAAGGAAGTCCGTGGGAACACGAGGGTGATAGCCGAGGTCGCAATAGTAAGGTGATATCCCCGTGGCTGGCAAGACGGCGTGGTTGTAGGCTATCTCCGCGTGGGCAAGATGGAAATCCCACTGCTGGTAGTCACGAACAATCTTTCAGAGAATATCTCTGAGAATCCTGTTCGTGATCTCGGTCTGACCATCAGTCTGAGGATGGTAAGACGAGGAGAAGCGGAGCTGAGTGCCGTACACCTTGTGGAGCCGTCGCCAAAATCGGCTGGTAAAGCGCGGGTCACGGTCAGATATGATGCTCAGAGGTAAGCCGTGGTCACGCACGACTCGGTCAAACACGATGTCGGCGACCTCACGTGCACTGATGGCATAGCGGCACGGAACAAAGCGTGCACGCTTCGTGAAGTAGTCGATGACGACCAGGATAGCATCATGACCGCGAGGGGTCGGAGGACGAAGGGGACCGATAAAGTCCATCGAGATGGACTGCCAACGACCCTCAGGGATAGGAAGAGGCTAGAGCAAGCCATAAGGCAAGTGGTTCGCACTGTTCACCTCCTGACAGGTGGGACACTCTGCGACGTAGTCCTTCACAAAGTCCTTGCGCTTCGGCCAGACGTMCAGGCGGCTCACACGAGCCAACGTCTTGTGGAAGCCCATATGACCGGCGACTGCCTGGTCATGGAACTCTGCTACTGCGCGGACACGTAGCTGTCCAGTGGAGGGAAAGCAAATACGGGGCTCTCTGGTGCTCTGTGAACCGTGCCAGTACATGAGACCGTTGTCCCCAAGAGAGTAGTTCAGGACGGTCTTGCCACTTCGAAGGGTCGCGTGGATGTCACGATAGTCGGGGCAGTGACGGTACTGAGTGCGAAACTCGTCAATCACCGAGTGGTGGACAGTGATGACCGAGATGGAAGAGAGTTGGATCTGCTCCTGGTCGTGGTCAGGGCGCCGAGATAGGGCATCCGCAACCCGATTAATCTCACCCTTGATGTGCTCAGTGGTGAAACTAAACTCAAATAGGTCGCGCCACCAGCGAGCCTGTCGAGGAGTGAGCTTCGGTTTTGTCAGAAAAGTCTGGACAACAAAGTTGTCCGTAGCAACCGTGAACGGTGCCCCGTGCAGGTAGTGACGCCAGTGCCGAGCGGAATAAACTACTGCGAGAACCTCACGTTCATCAGCAGTGTAGTTTATCTTGGCGGGCAGGAGCTGACGGGAGTAGAAGGCTATCGGACAATCACCTGAGCGAGACTCGACAATGTCGTCCTCGGCGATGGTAGGAGAATAGTCAATAGAAGGCTCSTCAGTAGCTGGACGAGTAGRYGTCAGTCGRGAAGCAGTGGTAGGGGTAGGTGGTGGGAAGCGAGGGATACGGGGATGAGAGGAATCAGGAGAGGAGGGGAAGACCTGAGAAAGCACTGCTCCTACAGCGAAGTCAAACGCATCGGTGGTAAGGGTAAAAGGGCGGTCAAAATCGGGTAGGTAAAGAACCGGTGCGCATGTCACCGCCTTCTAGAGGGCGCGAAAGGTGTCCTCGTGGAGGGGTGTCCAAGCCCAGGGTGGGTTCTTCCGAAGGAGGGTGGAGGTAAGGACGTAGGAATACCTAGCGTATCCCCGGATGAAATTACTATAGTAGCTGGTCAGGCCTAGGAAGCTGCGAAGCTGCTTGGCGGATGTGGGAGCGGGCCACTCCGCAATAGCAGTGATCTTCGCGTCGTCCATATGGAGATCCTGGTCAGACGCGTAGTGTCCTAAGAAATCCACTTTGTGCTGGGCAAAGCGACACTTGCTCAGCTTGGCGTAGAAGCCATGTCTGCGCAAGCGGTCAAGGACGTCGCGGAGGTGTCTGAGGTGCTCCTCAAGGGTACGATTGTAGACCAGGATATCGTCGAGGTAGACGAGAACGTACTGCACCAGGATGTCCCTGAAGATGTCGTACATCGCCCTCTAAGAGGTAGCGGGTGCATTGGTGAGGTTGAATGGCATCACCGTGAACTCGTAGTGGTCGAATCGCGATCGGAACGCGGTTTTCGGCTGGTCGGCTGCAGCGACGCGGATCTGATGGTAACCACTACGAAGATCAATCTTCGTAAAGAAGCGGTTGCCTGCGAGGCGGTCGAACAGCTCATCGGAACAAGGCATGGGGTAGCTGTTCTTAACCGTGTAGCGGTTGAGACCGCGATAGTCGATGCAGAGACGGAGAGTTCCATCCACTTTGCGAGCAAAGAGGACGGGTGCACCCCACGGGGAGTTGCTGGGTTTAATGAAACCCAGTCTCAGGAGCTCCTCAAGCTGACGCTTGAGTTCGGTGGCCTCGGGGATCGAGAGTCTGTAGGGTGCCTGGTGGTGAACACGATAGTCAGGCACAAGCTGAATGGAGTGCTCGACGTCACGCATAGGTGGGATGCCGGCGTACGAAAACGACGATGGGAAAACGTCGTGGTACTCTCAGATGAGGTCACGAACTGCGGGCTCCAGGTCAGCCGTATATCGTGCGAGTTCCTCAGCGTCGGCGTCCGCGTGCGACGGCGGGGTGGACTCGACGGACGGCGGAGGGACGGAAGTAGAGATGGGAGCCATGGAGATAGAAGGAGGATCTGGCTCCAAAGGGATGAGCTCGGTGTCGGGACAGGGTGGATCATAGTGTAAGAGATCCGTCACGTTCACCATAAAGAAGGTGACATCGTCCTGTCGGATGAAGGGGGCGAACTGCCGAGGCGAGGTGACAGTGATAGAAGGAGGTGGTGTGGGAACAGAAGGCTCCGGGGGAGGAGGATCGGGGCGTGGTGTCGTGGTGGTACCTATGAAAGGTACGCGATACGTCTGTCCACACTTCATTTTGAGAACGAGAGTGTTGGTCGTCCAATCGGCCTCGGTGCTGCAGAACCGACGAGACCACGGAGTGCCGAGAATGAAGTCGTACCCCGTCTCTATCACATCGAAATGTGCAGAGGAGCGGTGGCGACGAGACGTCGGGGAACGATCAGTCGGCTCGAGAGTGAGGAAGAAAGGGAGGTCGGTGACCGTCTGATCGAAGAAACGCTGGGTTTTGTCATCCCCTAGGGTGACAGAGATGGGAGACGGAGACCCGGTCGTAGGTAAGCGGGCTTCTTTCACCACATGGGGGTGAATGAAGTCGCCCTGAGAACCGGAATCCCACAGCGCTGAGTACACCCTCGTGGAGGTCCCCAATCATACTGGGATGATCGGGAGGGTGCGATCAGGGTCAGAGAGAATGGTGAGAAGGCGACGCAGGGCAGCGACATGGAGGGTGAGTCCCTCCTGACGAGCCTGGAGCATGCTCAAGTCCAGAAGAGAGGACACAACGTCCTCGCGAGTAGCGAGCTGCTCGCTGCAACAGGTTGAGCGAATGGCTCGACGCGTCGGTAGTCGTGGCGGGGAAGGAGAGGAGACGGTGGTCTGCGGAGGCGCAGACGGTACTGCGACAGAGGGCTGAGTACACTTTGTCGAGTCCTGCGATACCTCA